CCTGTGGGGCTTCCACCGGGCTCAGAGGCTTGGTCGGGGTACAGGTGAGCCGGCCTGCAGGGGGCTGTGGCATCTAGACATTCCAGCAGCTTCAGATGAGTTAGTGACGTACACTGGCCCAGAGGTACTGAAGACAGACCTTTGGCACTTCAGAAGTGGACTTGCATCGGCATTCATTCACATGTGTGTGCATCCTTTTAGATTCTGAGATCCGGGATCAGAGGGTGGGCTTTCTGTAGTCTCAGTAACTGACATGTGCCTTAAACATAACAAAGATGGCCTTTTTATAATGGCGACGAGGTTGGCAACGCAAGAAAAAGAAACAGGTGCCCCGTTTAGGTCTTCTTGTAGCTGAGACTTCTTCACAATGGCTCCGGCTGAGTCCATGGCCTTCCCTTTAAGTTCCATCTCACATCTTAGCGGGGTGGGTACCCCTAGAAGCTAGCAAGGCTAAGGTTTTGCTTTTCCTCAAGGGCTTTTCAAAGGCCTGGTTTTTTGTTTGTTTTTGTTTTTTTTCCTGGAGATGGAGTCTTACTCTGTTGCCCAGGGCTGGAGCAGTGGTGCAATCTCAGCCCACTGCAACCTCTGCCTCCCAGGGTCAAGTGATTCAGCCTCCTGAGTAGCTGGGATTATAGGCACCCACCTACCAGGCCCCCCTAATTTTTGTATTTTTAGTAGAGATGGGGATTCACCATGTTGTCCAGAATGGTCTTGAACTCCTGACCTCAGGTGATGCGGCCACCTCAGCCTACCAAAGCTCTGGGATTATAGGTGTGAGCCCCCATGCCTGGATAAAGGCCTGTTTTTAATTGCATATTCAGATTGTACATTCATTTCTCAAGGAGGGCCCCAAATGATGTAAGCTTCAGGGCCCATGCAACGGAAGCAGCCTCTGCATCTCACCGTGATCATTATGATTGGGAAATGAACTCTCCGCTCCCAGCTACTGGTGCGCTAACTGCCAATCCAACCTCCTCTCCCTGTCCAGTCCCTGGTTCAGTGATGCTTTGGAAATTCTTGCTACTCTTGAGCTCCAACTGAACGCCCAACTGCCTACTAGTCACAGCCACCTGGATGTCCCATCACGCCTGCAGCCTGGCATGTCCTAAGCCGCACTCATCCCTCCTCTGTCACTCCCAGCCGTCCCCTTCTCCTAGTGTCCATGCTCTGGTGGATCCTGGAGTCATTCTGCATTACCCTCCTCCTCTCATGGCCTCCCTCTCCCACCCACAGGTGACCATAACACACGCCTTCTCAACGTCTTGGTTCCCCATCTCCATCCTCAAGCCCCACCAGGTGTGGCCTGCCCTACCATCATTATGTGCTGGGTTCTGAGTCTTGTCCTGGGTTTCTCCTATCCATCCTCCAAGCGTTTCGAAAAGGTGCTTCTACAGCAATGGAAATCTGACACTATACACCTCTGCTTCAAGTAGATGCAGCTCCACTCCCTACCCCTGTCACTGTGGTTTCAGGCACACCAGCCTCTCTCTTGCACGCTTCCCCACCCCATTCCTCCATCTGTAAAACTCTTTGAATCCTTGAAGACCCACTCCCTCTCTGCCTCCTCTGTGAGGACTTCTCCTTATGCCCAGTTGACAACTGCCTTCTGGAATCGCCATCGACCTTCACACAGATTCGTATTATACCGCTCAGACACTGGCTCAATATCACATATCTTGGAGGACAGGATTTATGCCTCATCTCAGTGCCCAGTGATGTGCTTGACATCTAATAGGAATGCAATAACTGTTTTGTTTTGTTTTTTGACAGAGCCAGACTCCATCTGGCTCTGTCACCCAGGCTGGAGTGCAGTGGCATGATCTCAGCTCACTGCAGTCTCCGCCTCCTACGTTCAAGTGATTCTCCTGCCTTACCCTCCTGAGTAGCTGGGATTATAGGCATGCACCACCATGTCTGGCTAATTTTGTATTTTTAGTAGAGACAGGGTTTCATCATTTTGGTCAGGCTGGTCTTGAACTCCTGACCTCAGGTGACCTAGCCACCCGCCTTGGCCTCCCAAAGTGCTGGGATTACAGGTGTGAGCCACTGCACCTGACCACAATGACTGTTTTTTGAGTGAATGATGGCTCTGACAGCTTGGTAGTCTGTCCTTAAATTAGAAATGGGCTGGAAAAGTCTAACTTCTTCTTCAAAGGCCACAGAAACCCAAGTGATTTTCAATAACAACCCAGTCTGGGTTAGAGCCGATGCCCTGGAAAATGACATTAACCTTTTAACATTTTAAATTCACTGACCAGGATAAGTTCCATTCATTACTGTAAATTCTCTTATTCAATAGCTGATTATTCATGCCTTTGGCTTCTTACTTTTCCTTATCTTAAAGCCTGTTTTAGCATCTTATAATAGTTATAATTGGCCAAGCACGGTGGCTCACACCTGTAATCCCACCACTCTGGGAGGCCAATGTGGGCAGATCATGAGGTCAGAAGAAGGAGACCATCTGGCCAACATGGTGAAACCCCATCTCTGCTAAAAATATAAAAATTAGCCAGATGTGGTTGTGCATGCCTGCAATCCCAGCTACTCAGGAGGCTGAGGCAGGAAAAATTGCTTGCACCCGGGAGGTTGCAGTGAGCTGAGACTGTGCCACTGCAGTCCAGCCTGGCAACACAGCAAGACTCTATCTCAAAAAATATGAATAATAATAATAGTTAAAATTGATCAAGCCCTAGCTATGCATCCTCTCCTGCATTTCACACACATCAACTGCTGGCTCATCACCTACCTCTTCAATCTTCATTAGAACCTTAATTAGAAAAATAAAGCTTAAACATTCAACATATTAATAAATTGAACCCAACAAGTATAGATACTTGCTAGCATGTCTCCTAAAAAGCTTAGAGGGAGAAGCGATTTTAACTGCTGGATTTTAACCATCTCTGCTATAGATTTCAATTATCCACGATGGCCTTGGTCTTCCACCACTGCAGGCAAGAGAGGGCTCAATGCATTGCAGCCTGAACTTTGTTCAAGGCTTTAGGGAGTATTGTTGGATTTTACAAGCAGCAAAAACAGTCAAGTTGAAAAAGAGAAGGGTCAGGTCAGGCACGGTGGCTCACAACTGTAATCTCAGCACTTTGGGAGGCTGAGGTAGGCGGGTCACCTGAGGTCAGGAGTTTGAGACAGGCCTGGCCAACGTGATGAAACCCCATCTCTACTAAAAATACAAAAATTAGTCGGGCATGGTGGTGGACACCTGTAATCCAGCTACTGGGGAAGCTGAGGCATGAGAATCACTTGATTCTCATGCAGTGAGCCAAGATCGCGCCTCTGCACTCCAGCCTGGGAGACAGAGCAAGACTCTGTCTAAAAAAAAAAAAAAAAAAAAAAAAAAAAGGGTCATTGTGAAAAGAAGGAGGGAAGAGAGAAGGAGGGGAGGGAAGGAACAGAACATTATAAAAAGACCACGTGGGAAAAAGGCACAGGGGAAGCAGGAAGAAAAGTCCAGGGAGGAAGAGGAATCCCACAATCGAGGGAAAAAAAGCCAGAAAAAATAAGCACAGAGGGTCCAATTAATTTCTTGTTGCATGTAAAAGGATAAGAAAAGCCTTTGGAGATAGCCTCAAAACAACAACCCCTCCACACCACAAAGAGCCAGGTTCTTCCTGAATTGTTCCCAGCGAATAATTCCCCCATCATTTGCTCAGGATCTTTTCTTAGAACTTAACCGCTTTGCTGATCAATGAAGTGAAAATCCTCCCCAACATGGGAACGTTTTTTTCTTCTGTCAATTTAATAAAGAAGTTGGCTAAGGACAGATGTTAACTGGAGAGCATACAATCCACTCAGATATGTAGTGTGGGTTTCAATCCTATTCGTGGATAAAACAGCTTGGAAAGCAATCTAGAGCGACATAATGGCCCAACATTGCCTTCTCTCTGCTAAAGCAAGTGTGGTTTTGATAGGTTTTTAATATGTATTTCAGGGTTTGAACTGCGTACAGTCTCTCTGTTATTCTCTGCCAGGGAATCTGAATGACAGCACTCGCCTCTAAGATTGTTTCTACTATAATTTTTCAATTTGTTCTGGTCTGAAAAATGTGTGTAAATGAAAACAGAAAATTCAAACGCTGTGTCCCCTTCAAACATTCCACTTTGGGTTTACAAGGACTTTGTAAACCGTTCCCTGTTTCTCTCGCTCTTTGGCAACTAATTTTATTTTCTGATCACTTTTACTGAGCCAGAAAATATGTGCTGGATTTCCAGGAACCTCTCTCTCTTATTTTTCAGCTTTTCTTGTTTTTTGTTTTGAGACAGAGTCTCACTCTGTCACCCAGGCTGGAGTGCAGTGCCATAATCTTGGCTCACAGCAACCTCTGCCTCCCGGGCTCAAGCAATTCTAATGCTTCCGTGTCCCAAGTAGCTGGGATTACAGGCATGCACAAGCTCGCCTGGCTAATTTCTGTATTTTTAGTAGAGATGGGGTCTCACCATGTTGGCCAGGCTGGTATTGAACTCCTGGCCTTAAGTGATCCGTCTGCTTCCGGCTCCCAAAGTGTTGGGATTACAGGCGTGAGCTACTGTACACAGCCTTTCAGCTCTTTTTGACCGAGAATCTCTTCTTTCAGCTCTCCCACCTCCCTTGATCCTGTCCCAAAAACCTCTGGGGGAACTCAGATGGCTTCAGGATTCAAGAGAAATTTGACATCATTTTTCCAAAGAATATAGCCCCACTGGAAATTAAGGAACACGACAGTCTCTCAAAAGTCTCTTTGCCCATCTGCTCTGGAGAGAACTGAGCCAGCCATCTCACCTTAAGTAATGAAAACAGCTTAGGTTTCCTTAGAGACAGGGAGAAGAAAATGAAAAAATATTTACCCAGGGAACTCGGGATTACTGCGGAGTAATTTGTATACACTTAAATTAGGAGGGGATTGGGAGCCTTGAGGCTGCCTGGCGTGAGGATTTTTTAAGTCACTTCTACACCTGTTCCTCTCTGGATCTGAGACGTGTTACACCCACGCAGGAGACCACCCTTACCTTCCTCGGCTTCACTTTATCGTGGTAGTCATACTGGAAGATCCCCTTGTAGCTCAGGCCCAGCCACCATGGTATGCCCTGCTTGTCCTAGGACATCAAAAAAAAGTGCATGTAATTATGGGGCTGGAGGAAGTAAACACGCACCAAGTGGAGATTTCCTGGCTCGGGTGCAGAGGACGGAGAGCGCCATTTCTTTGGAATGGATGGCGCCCACCTGTCCACTTCATTCCTTCACAGATATGCCCCTCATTGAAGGATGTGCTGTTATGTAAAGAGGGGAGTGCCGGGGGCTGGGGCCTGGCTCCACTCCTCATCAGCCACACGGCAGGGGTCCTTTCCCTTTAGAAATAATGAGTGAATGTTCTGCTTCTCTCCCTCCCTCTCCCTTTTTTTTTTCCTTCTAAGACTTTAGGCATTCCATGCTGGGAGCCCACTCACCACAAAGGAAAATCTGTGAGATGTGAGATGTCACACCTAATAAAAGGACCCTCTGGGCAGAGAAACTGTCATTGAAGGTCAGAGCCAGAGGAGCCGTGGAAACTACGTCAAGTGACTCCTCTCATTTTAACAGCAAATCACAGCAAAGAGCTGGCCCAGCTTTACCCAGGACCTTCCCCAGCCCCGGGGAGCACGGGCCAGAAGGTGTCACTGAGGTCCTGCTCACCCAAGATGACAGCTGGGTCCAGGCAGGGTGTTAGGACTCATGCTGTTCGATAGGTAGCAAAATAGAAGCCAAAACAGTCTCAGGACTGAATTAGAAACACCAAGTCCCTGTTTATTCCTTTGTTTTTTTTTTTTTGAGATAGTCTTGCTCTGTTACCCAGGCTGGAGTGCAGTGGCATGGTCTTGGCTCACTGCAACCTCTGCCTCCCAGGTTCAAGCAACTTGCCCACCTCAAGCCTCCCGAGCAGCCGGGATTACGGCATGTGCCACCACATTTGGCTAATTTTTGTATTTGTAGTAGAGATGGGGTTTTCACCATGTTGTCCAGGCTGGTCTCAAACTCCTGACCTCAACTGGTTCGCCTACCGTGGCCTCCCAAAGTGCTGGGATTACAAGCGTGAGCCGCTGCGCCTGGGCTCCTTGTTTATTCTTTTAACAGAGAACTCTTGTCACCTGAGTGTAAGTTGCAATTCTATATGCAAATAGGATGATTCTGAGTTAATTAGAGCTCCCAGAAGCTAGGATTTTATAGTGAGAACATCAAGCAGCTTTTCCCTAGATATGCCCTAATTGCCAAGTTTCTAAATAACTGAATACACCCCCCATCGTGAGTGTCTGGAAAACTCGAAACTGGCGTAATGGTTTCGGAATATTTGTGGGGTGTGAGTTATTTCAAGATGAGCAAAAAGATAAAAGGCAAAAGAGATACATTTTGAAATTCTTTTAAAGCTTCAGGGTGTATGATTTGTTTTAAAAAAAACAAAACAAAAACTTGAAAGGTACTATAAAATCCTTGTCCTAACCCCCTGCCTCTGGGAAGTAGCTGTGCGCCCTGCGAGGGCTTCTGAGAACAGAACAAGAGGAAACCCAATGCCACTGTAACAGCGGATTGACCAGGTCATCACAGCATAAAACAGGGCATCCATGAGATCACAAGGCCACCAGACAGGGAGCTTGATACAGCTGGGCCAGGCTTCCTGGATTCGTGCTCTTTTCCAAGTAAGTAGCAGAACCATTGCTTATGCTTTGAGATCCTAATCGCCAAACACCCATACTCACTTGGCACTTCGAGAATCACAAGCCCTGCTCTGATCTTTACCAAACCGAAATAAAAAGCATGGTTTTGAAGTTTTCTTGGAAGACAGAAAGCATATATATCAGAGGTAGCCTTTCTGTTAAGTTCTAGGGCTGACAAAGAAATGGACCACAGGTTGAAGTAAGTTGAAAGACGGGATGAAGTTTCCTGTGTCTCAAGTTGTCTCCCCGACAGCATGCAATCTTCCTGACCAAGGTCCCCCGACCTCCATTTCCACCAGGAGTTATAAAGAAAAAAAAATAATGAGGGCTGGGCACGGTGCCTCACGACTATAATCCCAGCATTTTGAGAGGCTGAGGCAGGAGGATCACCTGAGGCCAGGAGTTCAAGATCAGCCTGGCCAACACAGCAAAACCTCAACTAAAAATATAAAAATTAGCTGGGTGTGGTGACAGGTGCCTGCAATCCCAGCTACTCAGGAGGCTCAGGTAGGAGAATCACTTGAACCTGGGAAGCAGAGGTTGCAGTGAGCTGAGATGGTGCCACGGAACTCCAGCCTGAGAGACAGAGTGAGATTCTATCTCAAAAAAAAAAAAAAAAAAAAGGAAAAGAAAAAAACAATGAGCAGTTTTGATTTGTTTGTTTAGGGAAGGTTTGGCAACATTCACCAAATGAGTTCACTCACCTTCACTGCATAATAGTGAACCCCGTAGGTTGGGAGAGATTCCACGATGCTCATGTAGCTGGAAAGACAACAGGAAGAAACACACACAGAATGCACACAAGGCTAGTTAGCAGATCTGGTATCATATACGTATTTGTGTATGTGTGTGTGATCAAGTTCTTGGAGTCATTATTTACTTGAAAACGAAATTGAAACACACCCCCGCCCCACCACTCCCAGATAGGTCTTTGGAGAGGATCTGAACAATCCTGACATATGATATATTAACACATACAAACGCTATCCCCATGCGAGCCGGAAGGGTCACTTACTTCACGATCGCTTGACCTCGTGTCTGACCATTCAGTTTCTTGTAGTGCTCAATGACTCTGTCTTCACTGCAATTAGAAGAAAAGAATGCTGTTAGCGGAGTCCCTAGGTCAACAGTCAAGCATCCTGCTGGCTAGGTATTTCTCAGCCCCATCTCATAAGAAGCTCCAAGGCACCAACAGCTCCTGGAAAAATGATTTGTCCTGGAGTGGCGTTTCCAAGCTCAGTCTGAGAGCGACCTATTTGGATGTAGATTGACTTAAAAAATGGTCAGTTTTCCCCTCAAAGGACTTGCATTCTCTTTATCTTGGATTTCTTTTTCTTTTCTTTTTTTTTTTTTTTTTGAGACGGAGTCTCACTCTGTCACCCAGGCTGGAGTTCAATCAATGGTGCGATCTTGGTTGACTGCAACCTCCACCTCCTGGGTTCAAGTGATTCTTGTGCCTCAGCCTCCCAAGTAGCTGAGACTACAGGTGCGTGCCACCACACCTGGTTAATTTTTGTATTTTCAGTAGAGACAGGGTTTCATCATGTTGGCCAGGCTGGTCTCAAACTCCTGACCTCAAGTGATCTGCCCACTTTGGCCTTCCAAAGTGCTGGGATTACAGGTGTGAGCCACCATGGCTGGCTTATCTTGGATTTCTAATCAAGAAATATAAGACTGGAACCCAAGCTGGGTGCAGTGGCTGATGACTGTAATTCCAGTGACTACGGAGGCTGAGGTGGGTGGATCGCTTGAGCCCAGGAGTTTGAGACCAGCCTGGGCAACACAGTGAGACCTTGTCTCTATCTAAAAATACAAAAATTAGCCAGGCATGGTGGAGTGTGCCTGTAGTCCCAGCCACTTGGGAGGCTGAGGTGGGAGGATCGCTTGAGCCCAGGAGGTCGAGGCTGCAGAGCTAGGATTGTGCCACTGCACTCCAGCCTGGGCGACAGAGTGAGACCCTGGCTCAAAATAAAAAACAAAAGAACAAAAAGACTGGCACCCAGGTTTTGGGATCAGCTCCTTGGAAGCAATGGTACCCTAAGAAGAGGAAGCAGACAGCGTGGACCAGGCATGGATACCCAGACTGAACTCCCTGGGGTCCTTCATATTCTCATCTCCCGAGTCCTGTTCACACAGGGCCTTATGGGGAGATGGCAGGCATTGACCTTAACCCACAGCCTACCTGCTCCGAATGAGAAGTCAGGGATGGAAGGCTTTCCAGGAGGATGGAATATTCTGGAATTTGGGCCTGGTTAATATAAACCATGGGGCAATGAAAGCCACACAGGAACGCTTTGGGGAACAACAGCAAACCAGCTACCAGACTTAGACACAAACTCCTTCCCCTTCCGAAAGCTGAGGTGGTTGTTTTTTTTTTTTTTTTTTTTTTTTTTTTTGAGAAGCAATTTGGCTGGAGTGCAGTAACACGATCTCGGTTCACTGCAACCTCCTTCTCCCAGGTTCAAGCAATTCTTGTGCCTCGGCCTCCTGGGTAGTTGGGATTACAGGTGTGCATCATCACACCCAGTTAATTTTTGTATTTTTCGTAGAGACAGGGTTTCGCATGTTGGCCAGGCTGGTCTCAAACTCTGGGCCTCAGGTGATCTGCCCACCTCTGCCCCCGCAAAGTGCTGGGATTACAGGCGTGAGCCACCACACCCAGCTGAAATCCTATTTCTACTATGGCAAGAGGTTAGCTGGCTCCTTGGAGGCAGTGTCAAGCCCAGCCCCTGAGACGTGACTCTGGTCATGGGGTAGGAGATACAGTTGCTCCCACTCCTGCCTTCGGAGGGGCAGAGCCAAGCTCGGGAATCCCAGGGAAGCAGGTGCAGGCAGAAGGCCTCACCCTACCTGCTGAGGTGTGGAGTCCAGACACCTCATCCTCCCTGGTTAGGCCCCAGAGGCTTGGAACCTCAGTTCTCACTCTTCTGTCTCACTCCTTGTCACCCTCCCTGTCCTCCATTGAAGCTCTGTATACCCTCAGGTTCTCATTAGAGGATCTTTATTATCTATTATTATTATTATTTTCAAGACAGGGTTTGCTCTGTCGCCCAGGCTGGAGTGCAGTGGCATGACCTTGACTCACTGCAACCTCCATCTCCCAGGTTCAAGCAATTCTCCTGCCTCAGCCTCCTGAGTAGCTGGGATTACAGGTGTGCACCACCAGGCCTGGCTAATTTTTGTATTTTTAGTAGAGATGGGGTTTCACTACATTGGCCAGGCTGGTCTTAAACTCCTGACCTCAAATGATCTGCCTGCCCCAGCCTTCGGAAGTGCTGGGATTACAGGTGTAAGCCACCACACCGGCCCTATTATCTATTATTGGTCACTACAGGATCTACCTAAAGCCTTCTTTTACCCACATTTTTCTATTTTCATTCTTAGCAAGGCCAGCTTTGGGGTAACAGGTTCTACATGTTCATCACCTAGCCCTTGGGGGTAATTTATTTCTCTTTCAATAACTACCTTAACCTCCAATTAGTATCTTTTAATTTTAATATTCGGGAACTTGATGTGCAGAGGACAGTCACAGGTCTTGAAAAAGAAGGGTCTTTATAAATACCCAGAAAGGGGCCCAGCTGGCTACAGGGGGCCTTGCTTCAGTTGGAGTCACTTCTATGGGGTCTGGACGTCCTCTATTCAGAAAGGGGCAGACCCAGCCATCTCTCTCCTGGGCTCCCACACGCCGAGGAAGTTCTATGTTAGGTGTGACAAAGTTGTCTCCTGATAGACGATCCCTAAAGAGCGTGTTCCCCCAGGGCAGAGCCAGCCTCCCTAAATCTGCAGCACTGTGTCAGGAGGTTCGGTGGTTCCAGTCCCTTCTATCCCACCTCCTCAATCGACAGCTGCCTCGGAGTGTTTCCTACCACGTGATCTGGGGTTTTGTGACGTTGCCTCCTAGGTCCAGGGTCAAGCAACTCAGTGTAGATAGGGGCCTTTTTCCTTTGCAGCTCTAGGGAGAGAGGGTCCCTGGGGTGAGGTGAGGAGGTGCAAGTCATCACAGCATTGTAGCCGCACACACGCAGAAAGCTCAGGAGAAACCCACGTGAAAGAAAGTCAAAATCACTGTCAGAAAGCCGCGCCGCTGTTTAACAAGGATGTGTTCTGACCACAGGATTCCGGGTGGCTGACAGCTGCAGAAATCTTTGCCACCCCCAGTTTGCCCTGGAACGCCTGCTCTCTGAGACCACAAAAGGGGGCTTCTCCATACTCAGCTTTTCCTGCTTGCTTTGCCACATGGTGGGCTCATCCTGGGCTAGCAACCTGACCGAGAACCTATTCTGCTCCCAGCTTGTCCCCACCTCTGCTCTGGAACTTCACAGAGGCCTGATGTGCTCTGAGCTTTGCAGACAATCTCCCCGTACCCTAGACTTGGAGCAGAGACTCAGGGGATAACTAGCAGAAATCCAGGACGCAGAGTCAGCACGGTCTGGAGGACGCAGCATTACGTGGAGCAAAAAGGCAAATGAGCAAAGCTGCCTGTGCCCGGGGCGCTGGCTGAGCTGTGTTGCTAAGTCAAATGACCTCTCTGAAGAGAAGTGGGTACTGCTTGGTAAAATGCATGGATGCTGGAAGGAGAAATAGGGGACAGTGACATGGTTCCCTGTCTCGGATCAGCTGCTAGCCTGCCGTGCTCAGTGGTTTCACAATATAAAAAGCTGTCCCTGGCCGGGCGCGGTGGCTCAAGCCTGTAATCCCAGCACTTTGGGAGGCCGAGGCGGATGGATCACGAGGTAGAGAGATCGAGACCATCCTGGTCAACATGGTGAAACCCCGTCTCTACTAAAAATACAAAAAATTAGCTGGGCATGGTGGCACGTGCCTGTAATCTCAGCTACTCAGGAGGCTGAGGCAGGAGAATTGCCTGAACCCAGGAGGCGGAGGTTGCGGTGAGCCGAGATCGTGCCATTGCACTCCAGCCTGGGTAACAAGAGCGAAACTCCGTCTCAAAAAAAAAAAAAAAAAAAAAGCTGTCCCTGCATAGCTTACTGAGGCGGTGGGGTGGTCAGGTGGCCCAGCATTTACAAACTAGGCCTGCCGGGGGGAATCCAGCTCAGGACCCTGATCCCGCCTTGTTCTGTTCCCCTGGGCCCATCATTCTAACCTTCTGCCTCATTTGCCTCCTCAACGGGAAAATCGCATGGTGTGAAAAGTCCATGCTTGTCCGACGTGTGGGAAAAGGAGCAGAAAGGTTTCTTGCACCATGACTCGGCATTAGTATGCAACTTTCACTGCTTTCCAATAGCACGATGTGACTGTATATTTCCTCTCTGAAGTAGGCTGGTGTGTGTCATCCCATTTTGCAGAGGAGAAATTGGCGAAAGCCACCTGGATGGTCACTGCGGAGGCTTGGCGGGGATGCTGAGACCCACTGCCTTGTTCATCAGGCAGCAGCCTGCAGGTTGCCTATAAATGTGTGAACTCCAGCAGGGGCAGGAGGGTCCCCGAAGAATGGTGAGGACGCTTCCTTAGGTCAGGAATGATCAGGGGACTTTGAGACTCTGGGCAACTGTGGTGGGAGGGGGATAAAGGTCTCCCCAACAAGTGAGGGGTCCTGGTTAACTTTGCCGAGTGCTGATTCTGGGGCCCAGAGAGAATGACAGTGAACAAGCTCTGTGTACCTGCCCACTCTTCGTTCCATATCTGTATGAAGCATGGACAGCACTTACCCTCGCCTTGTGGCTTTGATTTTTAAAAATCTATATATAAGGGGTATGAAAATAGTTACGTATGTAGAAGGAATACATTCTAGTATTTGATAATACAGTAGGGAAATTATAGTTAACGATCATTGGTTGCATATGTCAAAGAAGATCTGTAATGTTTCCAATACAAGGAAATAAATGTTTGTGGTGACAGATATCCCAGTTATCCTGATTTGAACACCACGCATTATGTACAGATATCAGCATATCACATATACACCAAAACGTGTACAGCTATTATGCATCAATAAGAATCAAAAAATCCATATAAATAAGGTTGAACTATTAGAGCCAACACCAGCTAGCCAACTGTGATGAAATGTTGTGGTTGTGGTGGTTGTTTTCAGCAGGGTGTCATCAGGAGGGGTCCCTGTCATTGACGTTTATGCATCGGCTGGGCTGTGATGCGGACTGAAAGTCCCCTGTCCTGCCACCCTCTCAGGGCATTTAACACTGGCTTGGGCACTTATGGGTCTGAAGAGGGCTCAGGGAAAGTGCTGGCCTGGTCATGATGGTACCAGACGAGCTGGCAAGCCAGCTATAGGTGAAGATGTTCATACTGAGGAGAGACAGAGGGAGTGTAGGTGAAGGGAGGTGCTTCTGGGTTCGTAATCGTGTGAACACAGAACAGATAATGGAGATAGTGAAGGGAAAATCCAGAGACATGGGGAGAAGAGAAGAAACTCAAAACTCTTGAAATGTATGTAGCGGTGTTCTAAAGTATGGAAAGGAATGAATGAAGAGATGACTGAGGGACCCACAACAGGACAACTCTCAAAGGTGAGTACATTCCTCCCTGGTCCTCTCTAGTTAACTCTCACATCCCCGTGGCCTTGACCACTGGATTTTTGGAAGTGAACAGCCAGGAGGCTACAGAGGGATAAGGCCCAGCAGCATAGGGAATTAGGGAGGTGGGGAATAGGGTCCATGAATGAGGAAATGAGACCATCATTTTTTGGTGTTTGGACTGCAAGTCTCGACATTTGGAAGGTGATGCGTACAAAATCCCTGCAGGTTAAACAGATTTTGCTCTTTGGGGGCAGATTATAATTAGAGAAAGCCATTCTCTATCTACATCTATGTTTTCCAAAAGAGGAGTGGCAATAAAACAGATGAAAGAGGTGAAATGAGGGATGCCAGACACAGAAGGGAGCTCACAGCCTAGGGCCCAGCTCTCTTGTGATGTGGTCTCTCAGAGTGATGTGATTTATGAGCCAGAGTCGAATCCTGCTAATGAACCCTGCATCAAGCATGCCCCATCCCAGCCAAAGGAATCTCTGAAAGCCACCCGAATCAATGAACAACTAGTTTACTGTCTGGAAAGTGTCCAGACAAGATGAAATGCTCATAATCCTTTTATTTCAGAAACTGTCATCAAAAGCACTTACACAAGTCACGTATTGTAGCTGATTAGGATTGACCTGGTCTGTGCTTTTTGTTTTGCTTTTAAATAAAAGCAGTTGCAGCCATGCTTTTAAATAAAAGCATTACTGGCTCATGCTTGTAATCCCAGCACTCTGGGAGGCTGAGGTGGGCAGACCATGAGGTCAAGAGATCAAGACCAGCCCAACCAACACGGTGAAACCCTGTCTCTACTAAAAAAAGGTGCAAAAAATTAGCTGGATGTGGTGGCGTGCACCTGTAGTCCCAGCTGCTCGGGAGGCTGAGCTGGGAGAATCATTTTAACCAGGGAGGCAGAGGTTGTAGTCAGCCGAGTTTGAACTACCGCACTCCAGTCTGGGTGACAGAGTGAGACTCTGTCACAAAACAAAACAAAACAAAAAAGCAGTTGCAATGATTTCTGTTAGGGAACCAGAAGGAACGTCAGAGAAGCAGTTTCAGAGTTATCGAAGGGCAGTGGTCAGGGCTTAGGAGGCCAGCGAGATTGCAAAACCTTATCCAGGAATGCAAGCCTTGCCCAACTGTGGTCCAAACCACAATCTGGGAACCTTTCAAATGCCTGAATTATTCAGAATCAGTCATTTAGGGGTTGACAGATGAGCTTTGGCATAATGTTACATTGTGACTAAATCAAGAGAAACATCGAGGGAAAAAAAAAATCAATCTCTTCTGCAAAGAAAAAAACCCTGGTTCTCCCACGTCTCAGAACTTCACACATAGTGTCATCAAATGACAGGTGTTCCAAAATGAAACTCTAGCAGCAGTTTCATGATGAAAGGTTCTCAAAGGCAGTGAAGCTTCCAAAGTGAAAATTTAGAAGGTATTCTTTTTGAAAATAAAAGAAAAAAGAAACAGAAAAGGGGAGGTCTCATGTGCAATACTTCATTGAAGTAAATGCAGAAGATAGGCTGGGAGCCGTGACTCATGCCTGTAATCCCAGCACTCTGGGAGGCTGAGGTAGACAGATCACCTGAGGTCAGGAGTTCAAGACCAGCCCAACCAACATGGTGAAACCCCATCTCTACTAAAAGTACAAAAATTAGCTGGGTGTGGTGGTGTGTGCCTGTACTCCCAGCTACTCAGGAGGCTGAGGCAGGAGAATGGCTTGAACCCGGGAGGTGAAGGTTCCAGTGAGCTGAGATCCCACCACTGCACTCCAGCCTGGTTGACAGAGATCCATTTCAAAAAAATAAGAATAAATAAATAAAGGCAGAAAACGGTTTCGTGAAGACACATGGTACTTAATACAGCTGTGAGTCCAGGCTGGCATGTGGGAGCTGGTGGAGGGAGGGTATGTTCAGTTGTCCTGTGTTGAGAAATGCTGAGTGTATGATAAAATATATTGTTTGCTGAGAAGAACGATGTCAAGGAAAACCTAGCTGCCCACCCCTGCAAGTGGAAAACGACTTGGAGCATTCTGAAGTAGCAAGACAGTGTATGTATATCATACACTGGTTAAAACAATTCTTTAAGCACGGGATCTGTGACCCCGCCCCATGGCTCCCTCCTGGAGAATGCTCCCTAGCTTGTCCTTGATCAGTGGTGAGCGGGCACCAGCTGCCTGCCTAGTTTATCTTGGTTCTGTGAGAAACACAGAACACCTGCTTGTTAATAATCATCACCTGTTCGGAGAAAATAAACACGTAGGTCAGAGTCTGCCCGAGGCCCTCAGCCTGAAATACTGTCAGGCTCCTGAGGCTCACAGCTGGGAAGGCTGCTGGCCCCCAGATAGTCCCACTTTGCTGTTCTGTCTGGGTGTCTGCTTCCTAATTCCTTCAGTGCCGCCTGGGTGGGGGACTCTACAGCCGAGCTGGTCTGGGTAGTCCTGTGTCCCCTTACACCCCAGGAAGCGCTCCCTCCTGGGGAAGACTCCAGGGATCTTACCAGTAGGCCAGGGAAGGGTGCTCCTTCAGGGCTTGGGTGGGCAGGGCTGGCAGCTTCTTCAAGTCACTCCTCACGACTTCATTGCTGAAAGAGAGAATGCCCACAAATGCGCTCACCCGCTGAGAAAATAATCGCACTCTCTGATCCCACCTGGGCCGGCTGCCTTGTCTGAGAGACCCCACATCTGCTTCCCTTTTAATTAAAAGTAGTGGGAAGAAGGAGTGCTCTCTTTTTATTTATTTGCTTAATACAGATGTAAACGAAGGCAAAACATGGCAAGCCCAGCAACCCCTTGCAAGGAGCAGAAAGCTGGCAAAGCGTCCCCAGATGGCCGGGGTGTCTTCCCAAGCACTTCTTTCTCAGAGGGGCACAGAGTGAATGCTCCTGAGCATCCCTCAGCAGGAATTCGAGAAGAAGGATCCTCAGGGGTCCCCCAGGGCAGAATCCTAGGAGAAATTCTCCAGGACCCTGCTGTTAGGCTTACAGAACTCCAAGAATGGAAAACGAACTGCTGTCTCCTTAAGAGCATTTGCTCTGCTAATATACAAGGCTGGTTTTCATGGCTTATGTTGACCATGTGCTCGTAACTGTTTTCTGAAATACGACAAATAAATACTGATGGAGTTTCCTTTATCTGAAACACTTGGGAGCAAAAGTGTTTCGGATTCCAGATTTTTTCAGATTTTTGAATATTTGCATTTATATACTTACTGGTTGAGCATCACAAAACCTGAACATCTGAAATCTGAGGTGCTCCAATGAGCATTTCCTTTGAGCGTCATGTCGTCACTCAAAAAGTTCCAGAGTTTGGAGCATTTTGGATTTCAGATTTTCAGATGAGGGAGACTCAATTTGTAACTTTTGCTTTTGACAAGGCTCAGAAACTACTTAGAAAGTGTAAACTGCATCATCTGGAATAGGCTGAGCATCCCATATCCAAAAATCCCAGATCAGAAATATTCAAAAATCGGAAACTTTGTGAGTGCCGACATGACACTCAAAGGCAATACTTACTGGAGCACTTTGCATGGTGGATTTTCAGATTTGGGGATGCTCAACCAAACGGTATACAATGTAATGCCACTATTCCAAAATCTGAAGGAAATCCGAAACACTTCTGCTCCCAAGCATTTGGGATGAAGGAGACTCAACCTGTACCATTACGTGGTTTCATCCATCTGGTCCTGAAACTAGAAATTCTTTTCCCATAGACTCAGAGATGCTCCGGTCTGGAGGATGCTTTAAACCCCCCTCGTTTAGCCAGCCTTCTTCATGTGCCTGACTCCTCCCTAGACACTCAGCAGTTCCGCATCCTCTCTGGGCTGGACCACCTGTGGTGTCTGCACCACCCAGTATCTCCGGAGCGACCAGCAGCAGCCACTTTGGGATCGTTCTGATATTGAAAGAGCGTTTCCCTATCCTTGTCCATCCGAGAGCCTCAGCTGGGTTTGCAAAGGCACATGTAGGAGAGTTCTGCTTTCAATCTGCAGTTCTGACTTGGGCTACATTAGCAGCTTCAAGGTTGTTTATACTAATGAAGGCAAGTACTGGCCACCGAGACAGCTGGGCAGTGCCATCTAAAAAGCAATGAAACAGGAACTCAAGGTATAAATCCGAAGGAAGGAAGGAATCCCGCAGCCATAGAAGGGAATTCCTGAGGTGCTCGGATGGTGGATACTCCGGTACCCATGCTGCTAACCTGTGTCCCTGGCAAGAAACACAGCCCAGGGCAATGCAACCAGCGGTGTCACCATTGGATGCCCAGTACCACTGGGCAAAACCACACCAATACAATAACACGTTAGTTCCCTATGTGTGTTGATAAAGGAAACATGCAGGTTACATGACATAAGAGCACTCCTAGAAAAAGCATTTTTCTGGTGTTCTAAGAAAGAATGAGGCCAGGTGTGGTGGCTCACGCCTTTAATCCCAGCATTTGGGAGGCCAGGGTGGGAGGATCACTTCAGTCCAGGCTTTGGCAACATAGTGGGACCCTGTCTCTACAAAAAATATAAAAATGAGCCATGCATAGTGATGCATGCCTGTAGTCCTGGTTCCCAGGAGGATAGCTTGAGTCTGAGAGGCTGAATTTGCAGTAAGCTGTGATTGCACCACTGCACTCCAGCCTGGGTGACAGAGGGAGACCCTGTCAAGAACGAAAAAAAAAAAGAGAAAAAGAAAGGAAAAAAAAGGGAAAGGGAAAGAAAAAGGAAAGAAGAGAAAAAGAAAGAAGGAAAGAAAGGAGAGAGAGAAAGGGAAGGAGGGAGAGAAAAAAAGAGAAAAGGTAATGAAGGAAGAGAGAGAAAGAGAAGGAAAGAGAGAGAAAGAAAGAAAAAGGAAGAAGGAAGGCAAGAAGGAAGGAAGAAAAGAAAGGGAGAGAAAGAGTAAGAGAAGGAGAGAAGGAAGGCTAGAAAGAGAGAAAGAAAGGAAAAGGAAAGAAAAGGAAAAAAGGAAGGAAGGAAAACCATGCCACGACTAGTGGTGTTGGTGAATCCTGGCTTTAAATGACCAACCAGAGAGAAGCGCTCAGCGTGTAACTCTTCGAAGCAATCTATTCAAGTACTTGAACTGTTAGACTCTAAGCGAGGCAAGGACAGATCAACTGATAATCAATAAGCTGAAGGTGTTGATGAAGCCCCTGCTATGACATGGAAATAATTGTAGGGGATGCAAAAAATGATGAGATACGGTCTTTAACCAGCAGGTACCCATGATTTAGCTGGAAAGGCGAGAGGAGCACCTCCAAAGCTCACCGACCACAGGGTGATGTGTGATCATGTCAATCCAAACGACAGGAAGGCTCAGAGGAAATAACGGTCCCCTCGGGCTCTGGTGTAAGACTGGCTTTAGGGGAGGCTGTGCATGAAGAAAAGCATAAGAATATCACTTTTCTCCCGAGCGGAACACAGACAGACATGGGACCACGTGAACTGAAGAATCCATCAGGGTCAGTGGAATGTCAGGGGCAATACGCTGAAAAGGGCAGGACAGGCACAGAATTGTCAAACTTTAATGCCAGGCTCAGAGGGTTCAACCTCTCCTGGGTTTGATCCAGGAGGCAGATGGCAGGACAGCCCCTGGTGGCTTTCAAATGGGTCAACTCCTAGTGTTCAGGAAGATTCCATTCCAATCCCACGTATAATCGGTAATTTTTACTCTCATGCTATAAAGGCATAGTTTCAGCAAATTTTCAATTCACCGAACACATGAGGGTCCACTATGATGAATTTCCAGATCTTCTCTCCCTGCCTCACGCTAAGTTCCCTGAGAAAAGGGATTTGATTTATTGGTTCATCAGCATGCAGAGTGCTGGCTTCCATGTGAAAAGTCACTGTTCTCAGATCAACTTATTGGATGAAACCATGAGAAAGGCAATTAGTGGCTCCCTGAAGGAGCTGAAACTTGAGTGTGGGTTTACTCACACCCATCACATCTAAAGTATATTTGGGGAAGGAAGGAACTCCAGGAGGAAGGGATCGTTTTACCCACGAAACCCTTGCTTGTTGGCAAACAAGTTTCCCGGGTGACAGCCACAGGTTTGATTTCCTCGCTGAAGCCTGTGGTGGGTTCTCTAGTTCTGCTCCAGGGCAAGGTTACACAAAAAAAATATATAACAAGAAATCACCAAGGCGTGAAGCCCATCCAAATCCATTATATTCTGGAAGGGACCCATGACCCTTCGTCCTTCCCCGAGGACAAATCTGTAGAAATGTTGTTTGCTTTTCTGCTGTTTATAAACATCTGCAATAACTTAGAGGTGTCCAGTCCTGTCAATCCAGCCAAACTCAGTGGCTGAAAATCAGAAAGCTGCCCTAATGGGAAATGTGGTCACTCTACCCTCAGAGACTTGCAAGGCTGTGGCCTAACGAATGTTCTAGAAGTTCACAGCTTCCTTCCTCAATGTCTTCCACTTCAATGTATTCCCCAGAGTTCACGGCATGTGATGAATGCCAACTTGTAAAAAACTTTAAAACAGTTCATTATGGCTGCCTTCCATTTTTGGAAAAAGGCAAAAAAAAAAAAAAAAAAAAAAAAAAAAAAAGGCCTGGATGTGGCTGGCTCACGCTTGTAATCCCAGTACTTTGGGAAGCAGGTGTGGGAGGATCGCTTGAGTCCAGGAGTTTGAGACCAGCCTGGGCAACACAGTGAGACTCCATCTCTACAAAAATTAAAATTAAAAAAATTAGCCAGGTATACAACAAATTGCTGTTGTAGTCCCAGCTATTTGGGAGGCTGAAGTGGGAGGATCGCTTGAGCCCAGGAGTTTGACCTCACAGTTTGCTGTAATCATGCTGGGCATATCATGCCCATAGCCTCCAGCCTGGGCAACAGAGGGAGACCCTGTCTCAAAAACAAAAAGAAAATAAAAGAAAAAGAAAAATGCAAAAACCTAATCTCGGAGAGCCAGTTGCTAAATTGAGAATAACATTTAAGTCTTCTTATTTTGAATACTAAGCAGCTTTTATTAAAAACTCTCAGGCAGTTATTCATGTTGCCAGCATAAAAATGGTAGGTCAGTGCTATATTGGTCTTTGATTTAGTGGGGATTTTTTTGAGCTGATGTGCCTGTCTTCTACAGCCTATACTCCTCATAAAACAAGGGAAGTTAGAATGATCTACTGGGGAAAAAACAAAGATTTCTAGCAATATATCAAACAGAGAATTTGCCACAGTGAACAGCAACACATTGAAGCAAGATACCACAAAGCGAAGAAAGCGAAAATTAAACCTGAGAGAGAAGGACGAGCAAAAATCCACAACGTGTTTGCTTTTCTTTAAAAAACTTGGAAATAACTTTTTCAAGGAAGTCCCCTTGGGTCAGATGAGATGTATGTGATTTGTGAGAGAAACTTGTGGAAAATAGACTATGCTTAGTGTGAAAGAATTCTTCCTAAAACCAGTCGTTTCTTTTCTTTTCTTTTCTTTTTTGAGATGGAGTCTTGCTCTGTCACTAGGCTGGAATGCAGTGGTGCAATTTCGGCTCACTGCAACCTCTGCCTCCCGGTTCAAGTGATTCTCCTGCCTCATCCTCCCCAATAGCTGGGACTACAGGCGCATGCCACCAGGCCCAGCTAATTTTTTGT